AAGGAAGGAAATATCTTAAGGGGGTGTGGTCTAAACGATGTTTCTTATTTTTGGCACGAATGATGATTGTCTCAACTTGTACACTTAGAGTTCAGGATAGTCCAAGCATAGATAAATCAGATGAAATCGTTTGTATTTTTCAGAACGAATTTTGCGATGATGGAGCTATCATAGATTTTGCTTTAAACGGCCACAAAGCTCGTATAAAGACAACAGCTAGTTGTAGTCGAAGTGAAGGAATGAGTTTTGCTTTGACAATTGATGGAGGAGTGGTACCATGTACAACATGAAACCAAAGTTTATAGAGGACAACGTATATTCACCAGTCGATGCCTCTTTTAATATTACAAAACATAGTTTCTTAATATTTTTAATTTTTAAATTGCACTACATCGCATTATAAGCAACAATGCAAAAGAATGAAAATAGTCATGGCATAGAATTACATAAAACATTGTAACTTTCAGATATAAATTTTAGACAAGAATCTAAAATTATAAATGTTTTCTATGTTTATCTCGGACAATGTAAAATTTGTGCATAGACTATCTCTAATTGTATATAGTTTACAGTAGTGCTCTTGACAACATTTCTGCATTCAGTTACCAAAATATTTTGGTTTGTACTGAATGAATCTGGTCACTCCAATGGACAAGACAATACTATTAAGAAAATTTATAATAATCAAGACAACTGAACACAGTCAAGTAGACCAGATTATTAGAGTTTAAATAACCTGTTAAATCACTATCTGCGATCGACAATCAGAACTATTGTAAGTGAAATGTTTCATTTTCTGTTGACCGGTTAGTCGGGTGGGATTTTATACGAACCCTGATAGTGTCTTAATCTCACCCTCAAATGTCCAGTATAAAATTCATAACTTTTGTCACATAATAACAAATTGTATAATGTTATGCTTTTTTAAGTTTGATTCTGAGAATTTACGTAATATAGAGTATATAAGACATTTGACATACGTTACTATCGAATTAGTGTCCCCTTTTGCTTAAGTCACACATATTCTACTAACACTAACAAATACCTATAGTAGCTTCCACTGTCTCTGTCCCTAAACGAGCTCTCAAACTTTCCGATTACCGGTTGTGTATATTTGCGAATAAGAATGGCGGTCATAAGTTTCGAACGCAACTCTCATACATGGAACTCAGTTTTGAGTTGCGTTCGTGACTACTGACAACTCTCAGTATTCACAACGATACGTAGGTGGTAATCGTTATGGAAGGCCTATAAAAGAACCTTTAAGGACATTTCTTGAATTTGTACATTATTTTTTACCATCAATCACGTTTGCACTGTAAATGCTTAATGAAATCTGATATAAATACTGTCAAATCGAAATATTTCGTTCCGTTTTTTCCATTAAGGTGAAGTTCGTACAAAATTAACGCAAATCTAGCGAAACGAAATTTTGAATCTTTATTTTAATCAAGTTGTATTTGTTGTTGCCTCATCTCATTACTTACTGCACTATATTATTGATGAAAACAAGATCATCCTTTCAGCAAAAAAACACGTTCATTTTGGTAGCACGTAAGCTTATATCAGGATGATATGATACTTATGTTTTATACAGATGGAATGCTCCATTACCTGATTGAAGCCATGTTCCTTATGCAAGGGTAGATTTTTCACATCATTATCATGTAACGTTACATAAGGAACATGGATTGAAGTATACGTTAAGCATATAAGGGAAACGTTGTCGAGCTCAATTACTGATACTGAGATGTTCCTGATGCTGTTTTAATTGTCTTCTTTTATGCTTATTAGAATAAAGACTCGCCCTAAAACTGGGTTCAGCTTTTGCACATAGCGTTGTATTGTATAGCTGAAAAACGGTGTCCTCACTTTAACTGTGATATTTATGATATATTCATTTAGCAAGATATTGATTTACACTAATATTTTAGTGTCATTTATTAGCTTTTATCGTTTATTTTAATTATTAATTATAATATATTTATACGTACTTTGAAACGATGGAGTCTATGTTTGGTGTCTAGGTGGAATTTTTAAGTACTACGCTATGATTATTCCTATTTGGAAAGACACGGTTTGGCCAACCTGTTTCTATTATGAAGTGAATAACGACAGTAGTCTTTAAGAATCTAAATTGTTGACCATTAAGAATGGGAATCACAATAAGTGATATGCATGTTAAATGATATATGTATCCTCCTTTCTCCAGCTGATAAAATCATCCGTCCACTACTGAAAATTATTATTATACTTCAATTTCTAACCATTATTTGAATTTATAAATATCTATCTCTTCAACATTTATACAATGAATTATATTTTGTTATGCTAATGTTAGATGTTACATGTTGTTATATGTTATAAAGAAATAAAATTTGCAACGTTTATCTAGTTTTGATTGTACTATTCCAATACTAATACACGTTGTTTATTGAGGGTGAAAATGTCCCGCCAAACGTCATATTATTAAACCTGAAATCACATATTTGGTTCGTTACGTGTACTATTTCTAATTGCGACACAGAAACCATAAAACCACAATAATTAAAGTTTCTCAAAGAGTCTATCTTCTGAATATTATCATTATGAATACCATGTTCTCTAGACATTGTTTTAAAAGACCTTGGCTATATGATAGGTTTAAAGATGTCCAGGCAGGAGAGGCTCAGACTTAGGAAAAAATGCCTTTTTTAACAGCCTTTCACAATGTAAATTTTTATGAAAGGGTAAATATATCTAACGATCTTGTGATGATTAATTGACAAACGTCTTGAAAAAATCTTCAAAGACTTGAAAAATACAGACACAAATCTGCCTGGTATAGCTTATTAACTTTCTATTATTAAGTATCGTCAATAATATGCATATTTTTATCATGAGGGCCATTGAAGGGAAGCAACCATTTTCGATGACCTCACAATTAATTAAGACCCGGAACACCAACTTATTGTAGTTCCTTACAAATAATAATAATCAATTTATTAGGCTAAAAAATGGGGTACATCAAGTTTTTTAATATAACTTTTGCATCTATTTTTCAGGGTGTTTGCTAGTATATACAGTGGTGTAACCTATTTTCGTGGATATAAGGATTCAACACCGAATTTCGTCAAAGTTGAAAAAACGAAAAAAAAATTTATGTCTTAGATGTTTCCTTAGATATTCTACAAAATAATTAAAATTGGTTTATTTCGATATTCTTTATGAATCCTTCACTTTGACCCATATTTCATGAGCAACCAGCTCGGCAACGGCGGCTGAATGCGTCACCTATTTTCGTGTACAATGTTCGATCTATAAATAAGTCTAGAAAAACACGTTGTATGGATACCGGGTGGTATAATTAACTTCTCTTAGTATTTATCTTTAATATCAATTCATTAAAACTAGTGACAATTCCTTCAAAGAACCACGATTTAAAAAAACAATAGTGACTAACAAAATAAGATACGTAGCGTGATTTATTTCTAAAAGTCACTGTAACAACATAAGAATATGGTCCACTTTGTGTTCCATAGAAATTTTCTGCTGACACGGAATCCGCTAGTTGATCACGTGACTTCATTCGTTGGACTACATTCTAGCAGACGACACTTGGAATTCCGATTACCGATTGGGATTATAAGGAAATTCGGCCGATAAAAAATTGTGACGTTTGGTAATAAGTGAAATCTGCCATTTTGTATTTGTCAAAGTATACATTAATACATTTTACCTTGCTTGAAACTACTGAATTCATTCTACTAGCTAACATTGTACAGAAAACCCATGTTTATCAAAACAAACTAATGCGGAGGTCGCGCATGTAAATTATTAAACATTTCCGGAAATCCACGAATAATAGGTTTCCACGAAATTAGGTTACTTGACTGATTTGATGCAGTGCACAGGCCTTTTGAATTTAGATTCCACTTGGGCACTTGATTGGAATTTTTCAAACGAGATATTAGGAGTGTGGCTTATTCTGATTTTGGCACCTCAAGTAAACACTTTGTGGCAAAAACTTGCTACATTAATGAAATGACAACGTACGTATACCTAACGATGTTATCTCGTTTCTTCTCACCATAGAATACAGTTCTTTTTCAGTTCTTCTGTTCCCTTGTAACTCGGGTTATTAAGAACGAAACAACCTATAGAGCGAGACTACTGACATATCGAGAGTCTGGTTAACAGAGAAAATCAATATGGCAGACATTTTATGAAGTTTTTAAAGAATTTGTTTTTTCAAGCAAAATACTGTAATATTAAGGTTATTTCCGATTCTGTATTCTTCTTTTTGATTTGTGTAAACACTCATTTACCCTTTAACTAATTGGTTTAGTTTATTTATACCACCAACTTGTTTAAAATAGACGAATCAAGCTTTCTGTACGTCCCATTTCAACCAGGATGCTACTAAAACTTAAAGTGTCTGTTGACAGCTGATGACGATGATACTTATATTATACTTCCTTCTATTTTTATAATTTAGATTGAAAGGGTCTAATAATTGATTTAATGTTATTAGCAGTACATGTAAACACAGACTATTAATATTAAATTGAAATGACTATATAAGGACAAGGTTGTTAATGTCTCAACTCCTACTTGAAGCCAACTCGACTAATGCAGTAATGGTCTGTAACTGATAAGGCTAATGAGGGCAGAAATGCCTTATTCAGTGTGCCAAGACAGTTGGATGAGCCTACTTTTTTTTCAATTTCCTACTGGCAAAGGATAAATTTTTAGTCTGTAGGCCTACCGTACCACATCAGACTACTGGCAATATGTATCCTATTAACACATTGTCTCAAACGAAGCATTAGAATAGACAGTTATCAATGTCAGCTTGTCCCCTAATCTGCATCATTGTCAGAGAAAACTCTGTTTTTCCAAAATACTATAGGCCTACAGACTTCTTTTGGCGACTAGAAACAATTAATTATTTTTTCTTTTATTAATTAGTCTTCCAGTGGCCAATGTTTTTGATTGGTTGGGTTCATTTAGTCAGCTGTATGAACATATTACACGCTGTGACTGCCCAACAGCAGATCTCACCAAAACTTCAGAAACTACAACAAACATGTAAAGATGGGAAAGAGTGTAGAACAGTTTATTCCAAAGAAGAGTTGAAGGAAAAGTTAACACCATTACAGTATAGAGTAACCCAAGAGAAAGGCACTGAAAGGTATAATGCTGGGGTTATACTCAAATTTATGGCCTTAAAACTTTTTGCCACATTATTATAATCACAATTATCTAGGTATAAGAACAGTATTTCTTAATAGGATTTTTTTAATCATGAATTTAAGGACATATTATATAGTCCTAACTGTTACCAATGCCCAGCCCAAGTACAGTATTTTAAGATTTACTTACTACTGCATATAACTGTTTATTTCAGGGCTTTCTCTGGGGAATATAACAGTCTCAATGCTGAAGGTGTCTATAATTGTGTGGTGTGTGGTGTTCCTATCTTCTCATCAGAATCTAAATTTAACTCTAAGTCAGGATGGCCGTCCTTTTATGATGTGTTAGATAAAGACCAAATTGCCTTAAAACAGGATGTTTCAAATAGTAAGTATATTTCTTCCTTTGTTCAAAAAGAGTTACAGAAAATTGTTTACATGTGCATTGAATGGTTTAACAAGAACAATGTTTTGTAAACCCTAGTCAATCAAAAATTTTATTGGCTTGTTCAAACCCTTTACTTGCTAAAATCTATTGAAAGATAATATTTTTGAATTTTATTAGACATGATTAGAACTGAAGTTACATGTGGTAATTGTGGAGCTCATCTTGGTCATGTATTTACTGATGGTCCTGAACCTACAGGAACTAGATACTGTATAAACTCAGCAGCTCTAGCTTTTACACAATCTACCCAATCATCTAAACATAATGAAGAATATTCTGAAAAGATCAAATCTGAACTGTAAAATGAATCAAATAAAGTCATAAATAGAATGAAATTGTTCTGTATTGAATAAAAAAACCCAACCCATTCCTATTGTATGCTCTCCTGATTCATTTTACCAAATCTTTGTTAGAGAATATTATGAATCCTTAAACCTGTTCACAAGCACTAGTTTTAGTATAGCCTGATCATCAAATTAATCAGTTTCATTGCCATACTATTCATAGAGACCAGACCATCATTGTTCAATTTTGAGAGACAAATTTAGTCATTCCTCATTTTTGCTTGAACTGTATTGGGATGTTGACCTGCATTATATGACCTTCTCAAAACTCAAAACTCCTAGTCCTAACCTACAAAAATTCCTTTTTGAATCACACAAAGCACAACTCTTTATTTGCACTTGCTCACTTCACCCAACTTTAAATGCAGATAAAAAGATGTTTTGTTTGGGTTATCTGATGAACGAGGGTTCATAATTGTATTATGTCAAATATATCAGACTATAAAACTTCCTTCAGATCATGAAATAAAATCATCTGTAAAATCATTCTAAAACAGCATGTCTTCATAATCTCACATGTTTCCAGTAATCACCTTGTTTTTCAGGTATGCAACGAATTGAGTTAAAATGTGCTGACTGTGGTTCTCATCTGGGTCATGTTTTTGATGATGGACCCAAACCAAGTGGTATCAGATATTGTGTTAATTCTGCATCATTAGACTTTAAAAAACATACAACAGTTTAAAGTAGAGACCAGTGGTTTGGAATGAAGAATTATAGAAATCTTTACACTTACGGTAATTGATAGTATATAGGGAATATACATTAAAATCACATTTTTTCCTTTGAATCACCATTTGTAATTTTAGTTTTATTGCATTGATGTAATATTTGAACAGTAGGTCTTGCTTAAGCAGTAGTGTTCGTAGCGAATGAGCCAGGAATGAATCAAGATTGAGAGAGATGTCATTGCTTTACAACATATTTAGTATTTTCTCTCTTGACTGATCCTTTCTAAATTGAATCTAAGGCACATTTTATTATTTTAGTTTTTGCATGATATTAAAGTTTCTTCTTAACTTCCATGAAAACCTTTTAAGGAGTACAGAATCTTGTGTTGCTAGTGTAAATAATACACTATCACTATCTGCTACTGTAAAAGACAGCTCCACATTTAAATTTTTTATTAGTTTTTGATTACTGTTTATCAAGATTCATGACGATCTATATCACAGAATACTAGAACATTTGATAATTTGAATCATATTATGATGATATTATTATATTATGAATTATTTATGAAATATTAAAAATTTGTTCAGAATGCATTGAGATAACTTTTGTTGAAATTTCATTTTTGTGTTGATTATGTTACTGTTATTATTTTAGTCCTTTAATGTACATAAAATTAGTTTTAGAGATATCAAGGAAAGTGTCATCTTATTAATCAAAAATCATCCAAGTGCCAGTAGACTGCCAGATGACTTCTTTAGATCCATATAAGGGGAAGTCACTCTTATTAGTTTTATTGATACAGATCTTGAATCAATCAGCTGTCAATGCCATAATTTTGAAAGATTTCTCAGTTAAATTGTAAAATATGCAAGAGATGACAACCAAAGACAAATGAAACTGTTGATTTTATTTTAGAAGACTAGTCTTCCTGATATTAATACTTCTGATCAATATCAAAACTGATTTACAACTTATATAGACCATATTACCAGTTCTTATAGAGATAGAGTAGAAATATTATATTTTGTTTATTTAAAGCTTATTTAAAAGTAGACTGTAGTCTTTCATAGTATTGTCATATCAATATTAGTTATTTATATTCGTTAGACACCTAAATATTGGTGTTGATGTTTAAAATTAGGAAAATAATGGGCTGTTAAGTGACTTTTTATTCATAGTTGACTGTCTAAGATTTGGTTGAAACAATGCTCCTGATAGGAAATTAAAACAAATTTAACAGAACATAGTTTGTAAAGTAATCTTTTATTCATTGTGGACTTCAATAACTATATTCCTTAACTATTATAAGCACGTATTGTCTATCATGACCAAAATAAAATCTCAGTTTTTCTATTTAAAATGGCATTATTCAGTTATGTTTTTCTGTGGAGTGCATTTTGCAACCTATTATATGTTGTATTTATTAACAAACTAAAAGCCTATATAACTTTGTCTATGTGTTATTTTGCCTTCTTGCTTGTTGCTGAACAGTATTAATTTGGACTGAAATTTTCCTTATTTAATTTGCTGTAATATAGATTGTTATTATTTATTATAAAATATAAATAGTTATTGTTAATTATAATCTATTATAAATACAATAATATAGTTATACTTAATTATAAAAACAATAATATAGTTAACTATTATCTATTATAAATACAATAATATAGTTATAGTTAATTATAAATACAATAATATAGTTATAGTTAACTATTATTTATTATAAATACAATAATAAAGTTATAGTTTATTATAAAAACAATAATATAGTTAACTATTATATATACAATACCATGGTTATAGTTAACTATTATTTATTATGAATACAATAATATAGTTATAGTTTATTATAAATACAATAATATAGTTGTAGTTAACTATAATTTATTATGAATACAATAATATAGTTGTAGTTAACTATTATTTATTATGAGTACAATAATATAGTTATAGTTAACTATTATTTATTATGAATACAATAATATAGTTATAGTTTATTATAAATACAATAATATAGTTGTAGTTAACTATTATTTATTATAAATACAATAATATAGTTATAGTTAACTATAATTTATTATGAATACAATAATATAGTTGTAGTTAACTATTATTTATTATGAATACAATAATATAGTTATAGTTTATTATAAATACAATAATATAGTTATAGTTAACTATAATTTATTATGAATACAATAATATAGTTATAGTTATTTATTATTATTTTATGAAATTAGCTTGTTGATTTGTTTACTTTATTGTTGTGATTTTGTTTATTATTTGTTGTGATTAGAAGAGTGACATATCTGAATGATATATTTTGCACTTGTTTTACACTGTCGTTGACTAAGGGTACACAATCTAAATAGATTCTAGCTATGATTATCTGAACTTCTTCTTGTGATCTGAGATTCTCATTACCACTGAATAGAAAATGAAAAGGGAGATAATGTATGCTTTATGGATGCTGGTTGCTTCCATTTTAAAACAACTATTATCCATGTAGTTTTCATTCTGTTTTGCATTATTCTTTTCCTATATTAGCCATTTAAATTACATAGGTCCTTGTGTATGAAGTAGCGAAGTTATGTTTAGTTTGAAATGGAAAGGTTACCTCCTGATACCTCGGCCTAGGATAGTGTGTATATCTACCTAGCTTACATGACCCTCATATAACATATAAATTATGTGTTTGTTTATTATTCTAGTTTAACTCTAGCTTTTGCTTTTATCTTTTAATTTTTTGAAATGCCATTAAAAAAGTGACATATTTTGTGAATGGTTACATTACATACTGTATGATAATGGCCAAAGAAATCCAAGCTATTAAATAGAGTAGACATGTATCATATTTTGTCAAAATTTACCATATTTACCCCTTGTTGAACAGTAGTTTTAAAATGTGCAATAAAATATTTGTATTTAATTGAGTTGTATTAAAATTTATGAATTCCGATCATATAAAAGGAATTATATAGATATATAGAAATCTGATCCCATTCTATCACAACAAATGATACTGTTTGATGAATAGTCATTTGTTTACATGTCACAATACTGAACACATGGTTGTTATCACTTCACTAGAATCATTATACTGATTATTATGCTTTAAAATATATTAAATAATAACTTGAGAAAGCACATCAGAATGGTAATGGTATAGTACATGAATGATTCTGCTTGAATCTTCTCGGTCTGTTATTACAGTGTGAATTTACACTGTCCACATAATTGTATTGGCAATTTTATTTATTGAATTAATGTGCAAAATCTAAGATATGAATCGTGTTAAATTAAGTACTATGAGCACTCTTTCACCTTATATAACATTCTGGCACACTAACCCACGATTTATATAACTGTATTACCTATCTAGTATGACTGGATTTCCTGTCTTCCTATTTCAAAGACAGAATGACCTTCGTGCAGCCCTGTGACTTATTTTATTATGTCATGTCATATTTCGTTATATAATTTTGGATTTCAAGTGCAATAGTCAGAACATTTTAACGCACAAACGGAAAATGTGAGATAGAGAACTCAATCGAATATTCCCGCCGTATATATTTAATACTAACTAACAAGTTTTAATGATTTATACAAGCTTTCTCTTTACCAAGCCTATATTCAAATTTTGTGCACCTTATAGTCAATAAACGATAGTCAACGCATTATGTAAACTCTTGATTGAATCAAGTTTCCGTTTGCATCATTCAAAACTCATGTAGTACTTTCTTTATGTGTAGACTACAAGACTGTCCAATAGCTATCTAGGATATTACGAAACACAAGAATGTCGGGACCTTCCCATAACTTATACAATGTCACGTGCACGTGGAATGAGTAAACGCTTTCTGACCAGAACCTGCACCCATCGAAAAAATCTGAAGACATTTCAAGGAGCATTGACTTCCGTGGCGGCACGAGTTGGGTACTATAAAAATGATTTCCACCTCCAATTGTATCCCCACTTTATTTTTTTTTATCAAATTTAAGATTTTAACACGTTTTTGCCCCAAAATATGTCAGAATGAACCAAATCAATTCAATTATTTGAGAAATTTTTTTTTTTTTGATATTACGCCTTCACATTTCGAATTCAACCTCGACAGTACAAAGAAGTATATCGGTCATTGATTTCTTAACTGGTTCCTTAGAACACCAGATGATTGTGTACAGTTATCCTTTAAAATTTGTTTACCTTGTTTTCAAATAAGGTTTACCATACAATCAATATTAAAATGTCATGATGTCACCTATTTGCGTTTTTAATA